TTGCTTTGTAAGAGAGTTAAATTAAATTTTAATAAAGACAGAAACATGGTCTCACCATTAATATTCAAAAAAAAATAATTTTTAACCTTTAGTACAAGTTATAGTGCATTTTATTTTAGTTTTAAGTTTCTTATCAAGACTCTCACACTTAATAGTAGATTGTGATTCTGTATAATTAGAAGTTTTTGCCTGGTTAGTAGGTAATAATGACACTAAATATTTTAGTCTAATTAATACTATACACAAGAGCATTTTTTGATGATTTGAATATATTAGCATTTGTACTTTACCTTATTAAGCTAGCTATATTTATTCTTAAATCATAAGATTGTTTACTAGATAATTGTTTCGTTAGTCTAGTTCATTTGAGAGCAACAAGCAATTACAATATTTAATAGAAGATTTGCAGAGTTGGATGATTATGCATATATTTTATATCTTTTTTACATCCTAGATATACTGGCAAATTATTATTTCTAAATTTAAGTTTGATTGATTTAAATTTAATAAAATTTATATTCTTATAGATGTATAGGTGCAAAAAACATTTCAACATATTCTTTTGGCAGCTGATAGTCATTATGAAAAAATGGGTAAAAATCTAAAGAAAGAAAAGTTTTAATGTCTTAAATAAGAAACTATTGATATTGCAATCCACTATTTGATGTATCATTTGACAATAGTGAATCTTCTTTAATCTGATGGATAGCATTAGAGAATAATTTTTTAAAGGATGAAGATCATATTTGTCAATTAGCTTATAAGCTATTTTTTGTAATACTATATGTGGCCCGATATAAAAGAATTTGGTCTACTTTAGAGTAGTATTATAGCAAATATCGTATATGTCTTTCTTTAGACAAAGTTGAAAATATACAAAAGCTTTCTGCTTTTTATCTTGCAAATCCAAAAAAAGAATTACCTTATTCTTTTTCTAAGATTGAAAATTTGTATGCAGCATTATTGAATATAAATTTTTATAAAGATAATTATTACTATGATAAAGAGCCTTGTAATAAAGAAGACTAGTAAATAAAGAAAGACTAGCAAATAAAAAAAGACTAGCAAATAAAGAAAGACTAGCAAATGAAAGAGGACTCTCGAATGAAGAAAAACTGGTAAATGAAGCTCTTATTAATGAAGGAATAAAAGATATTTTTGTATTACCAGAAGAAGAAATTCTTAAAATTGAAGAATTATTGAATTGTGATATAGCTGATTTTACAAATAATTTAGGTGAAATAATTATTGATACTAGTTTTGAATTTTCTAATAAGGCAATTATTTTCATTCAGGATAAAAATACAGAAAATAATAAGAAGAATTGAAATCTTGAAAAGATGGTTAATGCATTGTTTAACTAAAATAGTTTAGTAAAATTATTAAATAATCAGGATTAATAAAGGTGATATTTAATTTATAAATGCAATTTATATAATTAATTTTAAGGCTTATTTGTGAATACTAAAGATATGTTTCCTGTGTGAGATGCTATTATCATTCTCACATAAATAAATTATAATATTATCCAAAATCAATTTTTATTAAAGAAATTTTAGTGATTAGTAATTTATCAAATGTAACTATTTTTTAAATATATATATATGAGTGTTGCCTAGGGAAAACCTGTTATCAGGATTTCAATTATATTTTGTAGCATACAAAATCTATTTAGTTTCTTAGAAAATATGCCCAGTACAAAATATAATCGAAAGCCTGATGACAGGTTTTCCCTTGACGGCACTTATATATATATATAATATAATTAGCTTTTAATATAACAAAGTAACTATTTGTGTTCAAGTTTGATTTAAAAAATACCTAATTAGTACAGTGCGATTAATTATATTTAAATAAGAATTGACCTCAAATAAAGTTTCTTTCAATTTATTAATGGCACTTTAATTTGATTCAATATAAAGCTAGAGTAGAGATGTGATCCACCTATCTGTTTAGAGCTTATCTGTATCTACTTATCTGTTTGTGACTAACTCTGACAGATATTCAGATAAACTTGATAAAGAACTATTATCATGCAGATATTTTCGAACATGAATTCCAAATAAGAACTCAGTTTATCAGTATTAACTTATATAAGCACATTATAAAATAGCCAAATAGTTTAGTTTAATTAGATAACACAATATTAATTACAAACATGGTTAATTTATCATAGTAAAAACTTGTATATTTACTTTCGGTTTTAATCTGGAATCACTTATCATTATTAATTGCTTTAAATATAATATCGGACTTATATTAGATTTATCAGAATATCAGATTTTTATCAGATTTATTTTGGACTTTCGGAATTTAGAATTATTATTTCATAATACTTATTAAAATCTGAAATATTTCAGAAATAGAAATATAATTTAGCTCAAATTATTAGGTCAAGTAGTTATTGAGAAAACTTAGCTCATAATTTTTATCGACAGACAGAACAGATTTTGTATTAAGTAAAATTTCTAATAAAAAAAAAAATTTGAATTTGGTTAAGTGGTTATCGAGAAAACTTCATAAAAATATGGCCCGTTTATTAACGAAACTTCAAAGATTGTTTACATTTATGTAATTAATTTTGATTGGTATTCGAGTTGACAGTAAGGTCAACAGATCGAAAAGGCAGTCCAAGCAGTGAGGCGCAACACGTTGATAATCACATAGGCTGTTGAAGAAATCCAGTGCATACGAGTTAAGTAAGTTTAATGAAATGCCTAATAAGATCAACACGGCATGATACCATTATAACCAAAAGCAGCCACGCTATAACAAAGTATATGAAAAAAAGTAAAGCAGTATTGAGATATCAACAACAGCCCCGTAAAATCAAGCGTATGCACAAAAAAAAAAAAAAAAAAAAAAAAAAAAAAAAAAAAGAGGAGATAAGCATTTGTAATAATGAGTAGGAGAAATGCACGTAACCCAACAATCAACAGAAATGAGAGCACAATATCTAACGAGTTAGTTGAAATGATAGCCACGTCCAGTACTCAAAGTCAAGAGGCCCAAAGCTATGATGCGAATATTGACCCACAAATAAAAACATACATAGACACAATAATTCAAACAATAACAGCAGCGATGATGCAGACCATGCAACGATACATGGACCAGCAGTTTGAAACTCAGTAAGAATGGAATGCACAAGTTATGAATACAATTAGCCAGCATTTTGTTCAATTAGAACAGACAAACCTGCAGAGCGAAATCAACAATGAAATTCAAAACAACAACATTACCTAGTCCACAGTAGAGAATCATAACCAAGATAGCCCAGAAATCAGAAGAGAACCAGGAATCTTGCAAGGTAATTATCCCCCATCCCCATTATCAACGATATGATAAGTAGGGCGAATCTTGAAAACCAAAATAGAAGGCTAGAAAGTGAAGGCGGTACAATGATGTACAAAATAACATCCAGAAGGTTTCCTACAATAAACTATGAAGCATTGAAGAAAATACCAGTTGTTCAAGGTTTTCAGAACCAAAAGGCAGCTGAGACAGAGCATATTCAATTATGGTGGGTTATAAACTGGACGGAAGGCCTAAGAATTATTGAAATGCTTTCACAAAAACCGAGTTTATCTAATAAGCTATGGAAAGCAATAGCATTGGGATCATTTGTAAATCTTCAAGAATTCGTTCACAGAAATCTAATTGAAAGTGTGAAAGAAATGAATGAGGATACTATATTGCAGACATCAGAAGGTGGTGCAATAGCTATAAGGAAGCGAAGGTGCAATGCAACCTTTGAGAATATATCAGAATGGTTGCTTGCATTCAAAGCATATGCAAATGCAGTACTCATAATATATGAGAATAGAGAAAATGAAATGAATATGTACAGAGATCACATAAATGAGCTATGTATTAAATACAAATTCGAAGCAGTAATGAGTTATGATGAAGATCGGAGAGTGGCACTGGTAATGAATCGTGATTCTACATTAGCAGAGAGGAATATAGAAGTAGAGGGCAAAAATTTTGACGCATCAGCAGCAAGAAAAGTTAGAGAGTGGCATCGTCCAAATATATATTAACAAGATGGTAAAGAAATTTGCCTTAACTGGAATCGAAGAACATACTCAGAGGACAGGAACTGCGGCAGAATTCATGCTTGTATTATATATTAGAAAGTAGGCCATAGTGAAAAGAACTGCTTTAGGAAGAACTCAAGGAAACCGACACACCAATAAATCAGCAAACATACAATATAGCAATAAATAATAATAATAATAATAATAATAATAATAATAATAAAACATATATTACAGCTAAGAACTAGTGTTTACTAACATAACTATATTAATAGCAACGACACACAACCCATCTAAAAATTTGAAGTATACATCACGATTCAAATTATCAAGAGCGATTACCTCTTATT